TAATGAAAGTGAATATCAGGATGGTAATGATAATGAACAATTTAATATATCAGATAATAGTGATGATACATTAGAAACATCGAGTGATAGTGATAATTATTAATTAATGTATATAATAGTTACAGAAAATAAAAATCATTAATTTTTATGAATTCATGTCGTCGTGTATTTGATTGATTACTATATATGTACATGTTGATCATTATTTGTATTACATGTATACTATGTGCATATGCGCATATGCGTACTATGCGCATAGTACGCATAGTACGCATAGTGATGAACTATGCGCGCATTTGCCCATCTCTAGTTATAGATAGTGATTTTAGTATTTTCCCAATATTTCATTCAGTATGTCTCCTTTCCAGAGACCTATAATCTTTTCTCATTTAAACTCAATAAGTTCATGCCTTTTGGGCATTTGTAAAAGAAAAAAAATTTTATTTTCAGGTAGCTGAAGACAAGAGCTGCATGGGAAAAAATTTTATTTATTTATCGTTATGCTTAATAGTTTTGATGTAAATCTTATTTAATAGGCAATGATCTGTAATCATAAATCAGGTGTTTGGATACTTTTGACCGGGGAGTGTATCACCTTCGCGCTTGATTTTAGTTCAGAAAGTAGTCAAAATTGGGAAAAGCTTTGCATTTGATATCATTTAGCGTACATTTTAAAAATGTGTATTATATTTCCATGTATTATTTGAACTTTTATGTAATTTTTATATTATCGTATTATACTTTAAGCGATATTACATTTATCGTTACCTTTACGTTATTAATTTTCACAGTTATTCCGTTCCGTTTTCCGTTTTACAAGTTCCTACATCTCGAAATATATTAGAAGAGTGTTTGTTTATTATTTAATCTTATTATGTATTTTTCACAAAAGCACTTCAATAACAAAGATGACATGAAAACATTAATTGTTCCTCAAAGCTAAAATTATTATATTGGACTTGGAATTTATGTTTGGAACAATTCATTCCATCAACCTCACTCGTAAAGATATCATTTCCTTCGTTAACATCACGAACCTCTGATTACATACTTTACAATTTCAAACTTCTCAAAATCATCTGCGCCCCGATTCACAAACCCGTGATTCTAAAATACCCCGAGCAACACGTGCTTTAATTGATGACGTATCAAGTGTTTATCATTTACTAATATCGTGCGAACTTTTCTCACGGTTATAATAATAAAAAACAACGTTTCTCTTGTTGTTTCTCATAATAATCTTAAAATGAGCAAACCTCAAAATTTCAAAACTATATTTGAATTCATATTGAACAAAAAATCATTGGGCACTAAGACTTTTTACAGTCCTTTGTTGTCTGCACCATCAAACATCCATTGGCAGTTAGAATTCAATCCGGTATTATAACTCAAAGTCAGCAGAATTCTTTATGAAGCTCACTAACTTTATAAAATATACTTCAAACTAAAGGTTGGCATTCAAGAAACGAGATATTGCTCAATATTCCTTAATGCCATTCCGAATAAATGCGAAAAACAAAACAAGGATACAATTTGGCGCAACAGAGAAAATTTGAAACCAAGTCTTAGTTTAAAAAATTATTCTAATGATTACTTATATTCAACCATTGTTGACAGATTATATGATAATAGGAAGTTAATTTGGGGTTAGTTTACAATAATAATTTATTAAATTTAATAATATTAAAAATATTTGCCTTTGTAGGCGAGCCTCGATTTTATGCAAATGAAAGCCTTCCAGAAACTTTCGTGATTGGCGTAGAATTTAATACAGATATTTCTGAAGAAAAGCCTGTTACTGATTTTATAGATCCTAAAAAAAATCATCAGTTAAAAAATGCTTGGCTCAGTGATTTGAATAATCCAAATACTTCTGACGTGAGATTTCTCGTTGAAGACAAGGAATTTTATGCCAGCTCCAAAATTTTGAGTGCTCAATCAGAATATTTTCAGGCATTATTCAGAGACAATTGGAAGGATATGACAAATCGATATGCGGTATTCAATTGCAAAATTGTGGATACGCATCCTAAGCTGTTTTTGCAAATGCTTAAATATCTCTATACTGGTGACGTGGTTTATGAATCTCCATGTTTTCTCGAAAATGCCATTGATCTGTACGGAATTGCTGACAAATATTTATTGGACGAATTACGAGAACAAACAATGGAGCATATAGTTTCTTCAATGACTGTAGAGAACGCTGCGGAAATTCTTTTCGGATCAGCTTACAAATGGCCTGCCCTGAAAAGAGAAGTAAAGAAATTCGTCGTAAACAACTTCGCCAGCATAGCCGAAACCTCAAACTACGAACATATTATCAAAAATCGTAATAATTATCCTAATTTTTACGAAATCAATACCGAACTTCTGTTAAATCTTCATCAAAGAGATATCTAAATAAATGTGTAAAAACTTTGTACTATCACGAAAGGTAGCCTTTTTTTAATAAAAAATCACTTGATTTTTATACTGATTATTAGTTTACACATGTAGTGGTATTTAATACAATATAGTATTACGAATCATTTGCCTCAAGTTTATGCATTAAATCAATTTTGAATCATATGTGCACTAGAATATGCCTACAAAGTTTAGGTTCACTTTTCCTTCCGAACAGTATTTGTATTGAAATTTCATCTGGATTGCAACAAGCTAATTAACATGACATATTTTGTGGACAGTTAGTCACAAACATTGATATCATCTCAACTTTTTTTAGATCGAGTGCACAGAAAAAAATCAAATTGTTACACCGCTTTCTGTAGTCATTGTTAAAAATCGATGTTTTGGAACATAATTGCATATATGTATCTTTGAGAGAATACTCTCAAAAAAATTTATACATGTGATAGAGTAAAAATTCTAAGATAAATGATAATTTTTCATTTCAAATTGAAACATGAGGATTATTCAACTTCAGATAACTAATTCATATTAATCTTCATATAAACAGATTTAAATATCATAGAAAAGACTAACTTTTCACCTCGGTTTTTTATTTAAATCTTTCATGAAATTAATAAAATTTCTGTGTTAAGCTCATGAAATGACGGACAAGCGTTAGGATTCTCGCAGAATTCTTGGTATCCTGATGATTTGAATACATCACTAAAGTTTTCGACCACATATTTCATTACTTCCTCTTAAGCCAGCGGTAAGCTAAAGAGAGTTTCAGCAGCATTCTTCGGGTTTAAAGCAATTGGGTTTTGTATAATTGGAGAGCACTTTCCATTTGATACTTGAGGTTTCCCGTGTATAAAAATAACAATGCAAGATAAAAATATAATGGATCAATGTCCTCAATAATAACTTCAAAGTCATATTTGAATTCTAAACTGGAATTTGAATTCTCCGAATCGGATAAGTCAGAAGAAGCCAACTTCTTTATCACACTTAGTCAATCGCAATTTTTTTGATTCTGCCCAGTTTCCCTTGAATAGCGAGCTAAATATTTCGATTGTTCACATAAAAAATTTTTGCTATGACAACAAACATCCCCGTTAGATGGTAAGTAAAATGTGGCATCCGAAGTGAAAGGATCATTAAAAACGTTTAACCATGCTCGTATCAGACATTGATTTTCAATCAAAGAGGTCATTGGGTATTTTTTGTTCTCCTTGATATTTGTTTATATTGACTTCCACAACGACTACAAAGCTATTTGGAAGCCTTTCTCGTTTACAGAAAGCACCTAACACAACAATAAATCAAGTAAATGCAAATGTAATAAATATAGCATATTATTCTTACCATAACAGGTGTATGTGAAAGCCAAATTTCTCTTGATCGAGAGTCGCAGATAGAAAGCATTCTTGCTAGTATTGCTAGTGAAAGTTTTTCTTATAATATTTTTTGAACAACATTCTTCCTAGCTGGCCAATTCGGATTCTTGTTGTAACTTTCGCAACATTCTGATTTTCTTTTGAAATCTTCAATCGGATTAAATAAATATATTTGATTATGTGGTAAAACCTTACTGCAAGTAAATTTAGATTTATTAGTGGTTCGAATTGTAATTGCCAACAAAGTATTTGCAGTTACCTCAAATAATGAAAAAGATATTGGCTTTTCTCCCATTGATTCTTTCGATAGTACGAACTGGTAAACGCTCAAGGGTTCCATTTTTTGGGGATACATGTATTTGTAATTTGATTTAGTGATCTGTGTGATAAATTAACAATATGTACATGTAAAAATTATTACATGTATTAACATCAAAAAGTTGGTAAAATTGTTAATCGTAATCAGCAAGTTCTTTTTTATGAGGATTCATGAGAATTTCCGTGTTAATTTCAAAAAAGGCGGGATATTCGTCTCGATTCTTGACTATATGCTCATAGCACGGGGTTTTGATTATCGCAGCAAAATTGTCAGCCACAAATTGCTTAACTTTCTTTTTTAATTCTGGCCAGCGGTAAGCGGATTTGAAATGAATTGCTGCTGCGTTCTCAATAGTCATTGAAGAAATTATATATTTTTCTGTTTGGTCTCGAAATTCGTCCAATAAATATTTGTCAGCAATACTGTATAGTTCTATTGCATTCTTAAGAAAATGTGAAGACTCATCTCTTTCGTAAATAACGTCTCCAGTGCAGAGATATTTAAGCATTTGCAAAAATAGCTCAGGATCCGTATCCTTAATTTCGATTTCATAATCAAATGATCGATTATCGTCAACGGGCCTTTCATCAAGTTTACAATAAAATTGCATGAATTTGCACCGAATTTTTTGTAATAACTTTACATCGTTTTTTCGATTTCATCTAACAATCTCTAAATAATGCCTGAAAATATTCCGATTGTGCGCTTAATCTTTTGCTGCTTGCATAAAATTGCTGGCTGGTCACCGACGATAAATTCCGCATCAGGATTCTTCCTAAACAAATGTAAAGCACCAAGCAACAGTCAACAAGCCAAGATTATTTTGATATACGTGTTATGCACTCGGAAAATGGATTTCCCGACTGCACCGCCGAATCCCTTCCGAAGTGATTTCAGCCACAAATATCACATGTCAAAATCACATGTCCACCAGGCTTTAGCCAACCTAAAAATTCCCTAATTCGATTTTTCATCCTAGTGATGCATTTTGAGCGCCACTGTACGTAGCCATGAACGACCCGTTCTTTTCTAGGACAAAGTCGACAAAGTCCAAAAATTCCAAAACAGATAAATTTTCAAATAAAAGCAAAAAAGCTACCACGTATAAAGAAAATGATAAAGCTTATACAGGCAAAAAGCGCAAATTGGAAGTAAAGGATGACGAAGAATCAATCCCTTCTAGTGAAGATGAAATAGGACCGGGCTTAATTGACGATATGGATATGGAGCATAGCTTTGATGAGGAAAGCAACACTGAGGATGATCATGAAACGCCGGCGGAGAAAAGGCGTCGTCTGGCTAAACAGTACATTGATAGTGTACGAGAAGAGCTTGGTATGATTCCTCTTGAATTTTTAAGTATATATATTCTCTGATTTATTGATTGAGATTCAATGTTGATAGATGAAGCGGGATTTGATGCGGCTGAGATCGATCGTGATTTAATTGGACAACGTTTGAGAAAAGACGCGGTAATTTTCGTAGTGTAATCAATTTGGTTAATATTTCATATATTAAGCAACAATTATTATACATATATTCGAAAATTTAGCTTGAGGCTTCGGGACGCCTTCATCGAGAATTAGCCAACACGGTACGGATTTTTTTTAATCGTATTTCATTAAGATTAGAAATATGACTTATTTGATATATCACAGTTTCAATTTCCTATCGATCCCTTAAAAATAAAATCGGGAAGACATGAACTCTCGGTGACTTGCGTTGCCACTACTGATTCGTCCCAATTCTTTCATACAGGATCTAAAGATGGAACAATAAAGAAATGTAAGTTACTGTGATCACTTTAAAATTTCAGACATATAATAGATAGCGTAAATTAACATAATAAAATGATGAATAGGGGATATTAAAACAGGAAAAAAATTACATGTTTTTCCTGGTGGTCGAAAAGAGTTCAAAGAATATGATGGACATAATGACGTGGTGTTGGCGTTGGCTGTTAGTTCAGATGGAAAATATTTGGTATGTTCAGTTCGTATTTGATTTTACAATTAGCGTTCTAATAACATCTTTCATAATATTATGTTTGTTAGGCTAGTGGTGGGGCTGATAAAAAAATCAATATCTGGTCAGTTCAAGATAACACACTTGTGACATGTTTCAAACAACATAAAGAAAGCATAACAGTAAGTAGTTTTCTATTAGTTGCTTAAATGCTAACAAATCGAATAGTAATTTTGATTTTTTATTTACAGGGTCTCGCTTTCCGTAAAGGTTCAAATCAATTGTATTCGGCGTCTAATGATCGCTCAATAAAATTATGGAACGTGGACGAAAAAGGATACATAGAAACTTTGTATATATATTTATGATACGTGTGATTTCCTATGTTGACTTTAAATAATAATATATGTAATATTTTTTTTATAGATTTGGCCATCAAGATCAAATCACAGCAATTGACACATTATCACGTGAGCGTTGTGTTACAGTAGGCGGCAGAGATCGTACATGTAGATTATGGAAGATTGTTGAGGAATCACAACTGGTATTCCGAGGTGGCTCAAAAACAGAAAAAGAAGATGGTAAAGTGTATCAAGAAGGATGTTTGGATGCGATCGCGTTAATTGACGAGGAACACTTTTTGAGTGGAAGTGATAGTGGGTGAGCATTTTTCCAATGAGTATATTCTAATTCATGTTCAAGACATTAAAATCAATAATCATCTATTAATTGTCAAAAGTGCCATTTCATTATGGAATATACAAAAAAAGAAACCTATATTTGTATATGACATTGCACACGGAACACAAATAACCGATTCTGAGAGTCAAAGTCACATACAACCGTCTCCTTATTGGATAGTATCCTTGGCAACACTACGATATTCCGACGTGTTCGCATCAGGATCATGGGACGGAAACATCCGGTTATGGAAACTCACAAATAAAATCCATTCTTTTGAACCATTGACTAAAATCCCAATTATTGGATTTGTGAATTCACTTCAATTTACCACAATTGAACACGATTCAAAGTCAAATGAGGCGATAACAACAAAGGCGACGACTGCGACATTACTTTTAGCGGGTATTGGTCAGGAGCACAAGTTTGGGAGGTGGGAACGAATAAAAAAAGCTAGAAATGGATGGAGAATAATCGAGTTACCTCTTATTGGCTTGTCATCATAAGCCTTTGTGCAATGTAATTCTTGGAAAATAAATATAAAAATACATTTTTATTGCAACAACAGCAATGTTTTCAATCTTTGACATCCTTTAATATTCTTGCAACTAATGTAAAAAAAATTCATTATGTTTTCGAACTAAACTTCTCAAAAAAATATTTGACCAAATTGCTCTCAAATAAGAAAAATTTTGTAATTAAGAACATTGTTTACATATGGTTATTTGATTATTAAAAAATATTGATTTACATTCGTTATATTTATAATGTTTGAAATTAAAAAGAGGTAATCGATATGATATTTAAGTTATAAATTAAATTCTAAATCAGTTTATTAAGCTCTTGAATTTCAGTAAAATATTTTACTAAAATTATGAATGAATTCATGTCTTTATTATTAGTTATTCAGATATTTTTTAGGAAATTTTAGAAAAAAATTAGAATTAAAAAAGATTTATAAATTGATTAATGAATTTTTGAAATTTAACAAATAAAAAAATTTATTATGGTGCGAACGGCCTAAAGACATCAAGTGCTGCGCCACCGCTGAAATT